ATGTCTGTCTGAAGGCGCGGATGATGTGCTTACCTCGATGGCTCCTCCACCTGCTACAACTTCACTGTTTTTGACGGCTCTACGCACAACCATGATCGCGTCGTGAAGGCTGCGCTCGACTTCCTCGATGAATTGCTCTGCGCCACCACGCAGAACTAGTGTGCAAGTTTTCGCTTTGGGGCACTCCTCGAAGATATTGTACCTCTCGCCACCAATCTGTCGCTCTTCAAACTTTCCACACGTGCCAAGGTGTTCTGGCAGAATATCGGACGTCGTGCTTTGGATCGTTCCGCCCACAGCCTGAGTCACCCTACGCAAATCCCCTGCAGGTACGCGTCCGGCGCAGAACACACCACGGTCCGCGAACCACTGCGTAGCTAGATCACCAATAGGAAGTTTAGACAAAACTACCTGTGCTCCAGTCTTGTGGATACGGTCTAGCTTGTCGTAGATGATTTGCCACTCCGCATCAACGATCGCTTGGTAGTCCGAAACGGCCTCAACCCGAACTTCTGCGTTGTCTTTTTCAGCCTTGAGCTCGAGCTCGACGTTGAGACAAAGGATTTTGGGGTCAGTAAACGCCTTGGGTTGCTGTTCTGCGCCAGCGTAGGTAAATGTTTTTTTGAAGGCCACGCCACGGACAAGGAGTGAGTCTTGGAGACCACCTCCAGGAATCTTTTTGACGCCAATCAAGCTTTCGTCGAGGTCGTTTTGATCAAGACATTGAACAGCATCAACGACCATGCGCGAGAAGAATGGCTTCTGGGAGTGGATGAGCTTGGAAGACATGGATGTGGACGCGCATTTGATGAGGAGCTCGTCGTACTTGCTGCATAGACCAAGCTATCAATAAGGGAGTTTCATAGCATGTCGTTAACTTACTCGGGATTTGATTTGTCAATAACTATTTGAACCTCCTTGATCCTATCAACCGCCTGTGTCCTTATTCAGTTGTGTTTCTATATCATCGATCATGACATAACTTACCAATTGAGCCGCCTTACGCAACCCTTTAATGATAATATGTGGGCTAACCCCTTCCTCAATGTACGAACGCGACTCCTTTAGAATCTGAGCGGCCAGAAGTACAACGCTGGTTGTTCCATCGCCAACTTCGGCGTCTTGGGCGCGTGCAATGTCGACTAAAGTTTTTGCAGCCGGGTGAACAATATCCAGCAATTTAAGAATAGTTGCTCCGTCGTTCGTAATCTGGGCCTCTCCTCGTTCGTTCACAATGAGTTTGTCCATTCCCCGGGGACCCAGAGTAGATGAAAGTGTGTCGGCAACTGCGAGACATGCAGAGATATTGGAGAGCAGTTGACCTTTGCCCTGAGACGTGTCTGTGCCTTCCTTGAGAAGGATTACAGTCGGTTGCTAGTGGTACGAGTGAGCAATAATTTTTCTTTTTACTAGGGTTGAGTCGCTCACCATAGGTAGACCGCGTTGCATCGTGATATCGTTAGAATTCGGGTATGAAGGTGAGGCAGAACGCGTATCCAAAATGATACCTGACCAATCATCCAGGACCCTGCAGTAAGCGCCAAACACGCGTTGATCGGAGTTGCGCCACCTTCAACTTGCCGCCACGCACGACCTATCTCAACCTCCCTAAAATGCCCTCCAAACGAAAAGCCGACGCTGATTCCGACGCTGAGGCTTCTGCCCCTGAGGAAACTGAAGTACTAGTGAAGGAGCCATCACCTAGTTCTCGGATTGTTGTTCCAGTCCCCGAAAAACAAACCGATGCTGAAGGAAACGCTTACTTCGAGGTGCGTGTTATGTGTTTTGCGGAAACGATCTCTGGACAATGGGAAAAAGATTAGTGGCAAGCGACGTGTAACTGTTAGGTCGTTTGCCGGAATGAAGCTAGTTGATATCCGTGAGGTGCGTAGTCCTGCGCTTTAAGCTGGCCCAAGCACTTAGCATCGCCGTAGATGTACTCGGACAAGTCAACGGGTGAACTCAAACCAGGTAAAAAGGGAATAGCTTTGTCTGAGGAGCAGGTAAGCAAGAGCGGTATGACCGGAATTAACCTGATTGGAATTGGAATAGTTTATGGGCCTTATAAACGCTCACGGCGCGATCACTGAAGCTCTGAACGAGGTAAGTATCGAAGCGGCGGGCTCTAGTGGCAAGAAGTCGGCAAAAATCACCAAAACTAAGTACGTATCTGCTACGGCTTATAAAGAGCTACAACTAACGGTTTATTACAGGGTGGCTGCAAAAGCGGAAGCTTCGAAGCCAGCTGCCGCGAAACCGGAGTCCAAGAAGAAGAAAAAGGCGCGTAAGGTGGCGAGCGATGATGACGAGGACGAATAGTACTAGCGCCAGTATGCTGTATCTCTATCCCGTATATCTTCGCCTGTACAACGAGTCTAATTCTATCATTCGGTTGTTGATACAACTTGAGCATTTGAATAAGTTCGCATTACTTTTTAGTCTGTTGTTTAGCGGCCTCCAGACCCTCCTCCCTCCATTCCATCGATTCCCATGCATCGTACTCTTCGCGGTTGTCTATCCACCTGAACACGCCGATTAGCATATGCAATCGAAGAGGCAGAATTCCATACCTTTCTTGTATGTCTTGAATGCTGTGTCCCGGTATTGCGCCCATAGCGGAGGAGAAAACAGCGTCCTGATTTGGTCGCGCAGTCCCGGTTGGTTGACCGTCCTTTTCCCCGGAACCTGGTTTGGGGACAAAAATGTAGCCGAGTACCCGATCGATTGTTCGCATAAGGTGCAACATTGAACTCTTATCCTGCAGTATTATAAGCGGCCTAATCCCAGGCTAACGGATAGGAAAAACCGACCTCTACTGCCAGAGTCTCAAATGCGACGAGGCCAAAGTCTTCTACCAAGCCGCAAATCGCTTCGTTTAATGCTGAGAATCGTGGATGCGAGGTAGACAGGAGATTATGGAGATAGGACAAGTCCTGGACCTCGGTATAAAAGTCAAGATTGAAGTCTGGGTATGGTAGATTAGTACGAGTACGGACCGGCTCAGATACGCTACCCACCAAGATCACCGTACCTCGATAGTAAGTCAAGTTTTGACAGAACATTCACGTGAGGTAGACCCATATGCAGCATCGTTCTCAGCGATAACAGTAGCACTGAGACATATTTCGCAGCGTCTGTGACATAGTACGCGTCACACAAGTGTACAGCGGCCAGCTAGACTACACCAAGTCCATGAGTTACACCGATAATCAATGAACACAAAACACACAAGTACGCACCCGAAACCCAATTTTCTCCAATTTCCCGATAATGTTCTTCAAACTCATATGATCGGAGCTGAGCTCTACCTGTCCGGGAACGTCAAATACCACGTAGGCGTCTCCCGCCAAAAGTCCGGCCGCACGAAGTTGTTCTTCGAGCCAATCGAAATTTGCTTCAAGATATTCCATGCAGTAGAGCATTCCGCCGTTTGGACCTAAACCATGCTCTTCCATAGCGTCCTGGAGGGAAATTAAAGAGGCGATGTCGATTGTGCACTTGTACGGCACAGAGTCATTGGCGGGATCAAGATTAACAACTGCGATCGGGCGTTCGAGTGCTTCCAAGAGCTGGGCGAGGTAAGTATGTGAGGCGTTTCCTAAAAAAAAAAAAGCCGTACTTGCTGCTTTCCAAAGGCATATGTAGATTTACCACTACCTGGCGACCCTATGATAATCTCTCCAAATGGCATCTCAAACTTAAGCTTAGGGAGCGGTTATGTTTGGACTTCGTGGTAGTTAACCAAAGGCCACAAACCGGCTCAAGTCTCACGAATTAGCGCCATAAATTTGGAAACGGTGCTTTTCCGTAACAGGCGCTAGCTCGTTTTCAAAAGAAAAGCGACCCAATGCCAAAGCATATTTTGACAAAAAGAGGCACATGCAAACCGAAAGACACATTGACATGATGGTGCGGAGATGGTACAAGAGAAGGCACTCTCCACTTGAGAGAATAGCGAGAGCTGAAATTGAGTCACATGAACAAGAATACACACGTATCTTGGGGTGACACACACCTATGGCTACAGAACAAGTGCATGCGATATCAATATAACTTTTGGATCGGAAGCGGCACGCTCCGTACCACTGACCTTGCTTCCGCTGAGGATTCGCTGTTTGCGAACCTGACCTAATAACCTTAAATACCTCAGCACTACTCTTCAGGCTCGAGTCGGACTCGTGCGGGCTAACACACAGCATGTAGCTACAGTACTAGTTTCAAACCGAGACCATAAATAAGGCTCCTAGACTCGGCCACTAGATACGACCTATCCAGATATCGAATGACATAGGCAAATGATTACTTTGGACAGCTGTATGAATGAAACAAAAGCTATTCGAAAGGTCATAAAGCTCTCGCTGCCTGGTTGGCTAGAGCACAACCGATATTCAGATTATTCTCCACGCTCGACTCCTGGACAAGCCGCGCAGAAACTCCCGCATGGGCACTGACCCCATCCAGGGTGCAGTGCAAAGTTATATTGTAAATGAGTTTCCGTTCGTGTTAAAATGGGTAAGTCCTGCTACGAGCGACAGGAATCACGACTACATTGCGACCAGCGCTCTGATGTGTGCTGGAGTTGGGATCCAGCAAGCCTGTTACATACCACTTGGGTAAGTTTAAGCTCAATTGACCCACCAACCAACAATCAGAGCCGCAAGCTGACTGTCCCGTGCTCGGCATAGTAAAAGCGCCATTAGTAAATGGAACACAACCGTAACCCATGTATATGCGCAGCATTACTAGTCGAATAGAATCAGCCGTTCGCCTATGGGATTTTGGCTGAGCCATCCATTAACCTGCGGACAGTTAGATATGAAAACGTGCCGTTGGGCGCAAGACGTTCAAAGATTAGTCCTACAGCTCCGTCAACTAAGTATACAATTTTTTCCACCATGAGACTCTTATAGCTCTCTATGCTATATGCGCTAGTTCTGCAGCCATAGATGCACATCATCTCTGATGCATGATGCAAATTTAAGATGCGTATGTTTAGACAAGCTTCCTTGGCTCAGTTGGTAGAGCGTTGGTCTCATATCTTGATATGAGTGATCTTATGATTACGTAATCCATACTATCCAAAGGTCGTGAGTTCGAGCCTCACAGGGAGCAGCCTTTTTTGGCCTCTCTCCTGCACTTTGTTTCATGCTTTTATCATAGAAACTCACTGAGATATGAGCTGTTCTTTCTATAAGCTCAGGGAGCACTCAGTGCTTAACTTGTTTCATTAACATCTTCTCATGTGTTTATCTAGTTTCTGAGCTCTCATTTATGTTTGATAGCTTGGGATCCACATGCCTCCAAGTGCCTTTACTATGTTGCAGCACCTCTCATCCATGAGCAGGTGGTTTTGTGGAAAGTGATGCTTGGGGGGGGATGGGTATATGCTAGTGGTTTTGTGTGGATATCTAGCCATATTTGCCCAATGGAGCTGTGTCAACTCTGTATCAGCTCTGTGCCAAGTCTGAGTCTGTTGAAAAAAGTGGATATATGTGTGGAATTGCACTGCTTAGCACTATATGTGCATATATCCACTTTCCACCTGGTTTGAACTCACCACACAGGTTCAGTGCAAAAATACATAAGAGCTCCTATACAAGATCACCATTAGATGCACACATTAAGAGTGAGCACATACAGCTTCACCGGCTCCGCTATATGTGCAATACTGAGCAGGGACAACGCTGGTGCGGCGCGCCGGTCACGTGGCACGTGCGGCGACGCGTTCGATTCGCACTTGACCACGATTATATCGTGTCGGCGCCCGACGTCGTGCGTCGCATTTGCCTCCTGTCCGCCATCCACTTCGACATGCCCGGTTGGCTTGCATAGACGAGCCCTCCCAACTCGCGAGTCACACTCGCGGTTTGGGAGATCCGACCACGTTCGCGCCGCCTCGGCGGCGCTTGCGTCCCCCAACCCTGCCAGCGTCTAAGCCGACCAACGGGGCGTGCCAAAGGTTACGCGAGCGACGGCGCCCAGCTCAGTGGGGTGAATTTTAGGATTAAGTTTCAATTTGGCTAAATCTATCTGGATTTGTCTACATTGCATATATTAGGGTGAATTAGGGGATTTAGCCCCTCAATCCAGATACCCCTGAATTCATACCTGGCACGCACCAGTGGGCTTAGGGAAGCCATTGGTACAGCTTTAGACTCACTTTTAAACTTCTAAATCCACCCAAAGTTTATCTGAATTTATCTCAAAGATGGGGGGGGGGACATTGAACCTTACATTTCTTTAATTCACCTCAATTCACTTAAGCTGACCTTAACTTGTATACCATGTTTTCCCTGATGGTCAGCTCTAGGAATAAGCAAAAGCTAACCTAGATAAGGGGAAACAAGCCGGCAATGCGGTTGAGGGGGATAGAGGGGCTATCATTGACAGCCATGTTATATAGTAAACAATTGCAATAGTGTTGTGGAACGTTCCGGTCCGGCCCGACTCCTGGCCCCTGAGCCCCTATTCGGGGTCGTATTTAGTCTTGTTCGTGCCCCTGTGACGCTATCTAGTCGTTTCCTCTTTCTTCTCACCGCGCGCATTCGAGTCCGACGCGCTTACCTCGCTACACACAGGTCTGGAACAAGTTGGGGTTAGAGTCAAGTTAAAGGAGGTGATAGTAGTCGAGCACTTTAGCAATATCTCAAGTTGACCCCCATTGCCCCTCACCCTTGCCCCACAAACATGTTTGCCGAGCATTAACGTCGGACTGGCATTGCCTCTGGCAGCCGTCAAACACCTTATTGCCCCACTAGCCGGCTCAATAAACAAGCAAAACCAAGCTATGCCTTTTATTTTTCGACCTCGAATGCATACATTGGTAAACTCTATCCTCGCCGCGTCCTAATCATTCCTATCCTTTGACATCAACCCCTCTCGCTCCCCTCTTCTTCTCTCCTTATCATCGTCATCATCTTCGTCTCCGATCTCGAACACAACCTCGTCCTGCCTCAACGCTTCCCTGCCCCCTATGCCTCCGGCCAAATTCTCCTGGCTCGGCGGCGCCATTGCACCGCGCCGTTGCATCGATTCGAGATCATAGTCCTCGGCGTCGTCGTCCTGCGCGAGCTCTTCGGACATGGCAAGGCGTCGATTGTTGCCCGTTGGGCGCCAGAG